AAAACCGGCTGGGGGACCTGGCGGATCTGTAGGGAGGGAATCTGTGCGTGCTGAGTGACGCTGTGGGTGAAGCTGGAGGGATTGTTCGATTTATTTGTCTTGTGTGTGTCTTGAAAGGCCAAGAGAAGGAGTGGAGGATATGGATCGGGTGCTGTGGGGTGTCAGGGAAAGGCAGAAAGGAAAAGCAATGCGTTTTCCTTCTATGTTCTTCAGATAGCACTTTTCAGTAATAGGGAAAGGTGTTTATTTCTTGAACAATCCTTGAGATATAGAGATAGCGTTTGAACCATGCTTCGCATGGGTCATCATATGGCAATACCCATGGCAAAACTAGGTTTGTACGCTGTGTAATGAGTGTTCACCTTTTATTTTAGTATTTATTTTTTATAAATACTTTGTCAAGTGTCTGAATATTCACTGGAACAATGTCAGTGGAGATCCACAATTCAGCAACCCAGTAACCTCGTTATAACAGTGACGTCCTTACAAATCCCCCGAGAGATGTACCGCGATGAGCATGCCGTTCTGGGAGGCAGAGCTCATGCTTTTCGAAGCAATAGTACAATGTAGGAAAGTGTGAGGGCTTTTAATGGGGTTCCACGTGTGCATCTCAGACGCCCATTGCTGCAGCCCATCACTCCCGAGAGGCTGCCCGGGGTGCTGGTTCTCACACTTCAATCTGTGGCGGGAATCTGGCATCAGTGTGAGCGCTTCTGCATGCAGCTGAGACGCAGGGAAGTGTGCTCTCGGCTGTTGCTTGTCGCCGAGCAAAAGGATTCTTCCGAGACGTTTAGCACTCGGTTCTTCTGACTCCCAGACGGTGTTCATTAACAATTAACAATTTGTCTTGTGCTATTTTGCTTAAATAGCAAAGATGTAATGAATGAAGTCTCTGTGAATAGGCGTTGAACGAGCAGTTTTTCAAAAAGAAGAGAGAGAAAGTCATGATATCAGTGCAATTAGACATTGATCGTGGCTGATAGAATTTCGTGATATTCATTTCATTTCTTAAATCCTCGCTTCTTTACCCGTGAATGAATGGTCTTCCACATGATTAGTAAAACGGTTAAGTACACTGAAATTTTAAAAAGGTATTTTTCGTACTAATGGCCTGTAATTATGTAGAGAATATTCCTTATGGTTATCCAATAAAAGTAACAATATTTTGATGACCAAAAGTTAAGGAACAATAATTTCTAGGTTATGTTAAAAGTACTTTTTCATGATGATTCAGTATCAGTGTATTTTGGAAAATATTGTGATAATATTTTATCCAGAGTAAGAAAAAAAACATTGAAAATAGACAGCTTTTTCATAGATATCAGACAGCTTTCCTGTATTGTAACGAATTGTAGAGCTTTGAATTACAATCCATATATTTTTATAGTGTGTATTATCGCGTTATAACATTGATCTCCTTAAGGTGAATCTGATGACAATAATAAACCATCGTCGTTTTATAAGCAAAATAAACACCTTTTTATAATGTGTGTTTTATTCAACTGTTTGACATATCTCGTTTTTTCCCCGGAACACTATTATGTCTTACATAACCACGCATACATTTATTGGTGAAACTAGATTTGACTTCATAATTCCATGGCAAAGAGCTCTGCTTGAGCTCTGCTCTGGGAAAAGGGTGAGCCCAAGGCCTCCGCACACCCGATCGCGAGGGCACTGACACCAATGGGTTCCTCTCACCTTCTACCACACATATATGTAAGAATTAGAATGCAGAAGCTCCCCTTTACCCCGCAAGCTTGGTCCTTGTAGTAGGGGAGGACAAGAAGGCTACGAGGGAAAAAAATATTTGCAAAGTAAGTCCTTAAACCATCTAGTGCAGTGGCTGTGCCTCCACTACATACCTTAGGGGAACCTTGGCCCTCCAACCTTATCCTGGAAAACAAAGAATCCTCCATAACTTTATGGCAGGATCGCTGACTGATGTTATTCTTTCGAACATTTACACGACCTAACCATCAAAAGCAAGGAGCTGCAACCCCCACGGGAGAGGGGGTTGCCCCAACCCTTGCGCCGGAATGCAAGGAAGCCTCCCCATCTTTTCGGTAGCATGGAACGTAGGACTTATCGTAGATTTATGATGACTACTTGGGATAACTACTGCCTGTACTATGAAGAGATGCATACACTGTAGTAAATGGGGTGCACCCCCCCCCACACACACACACACATCGACACGACGACAATAGTATTAGATTATGTAATGTGCACTGCTCATTTTCCTTCGTATTTCGCCCTACATGTTGATCGTAGGTTCCACCCCGCCATGAATATGTGGAGGATTCTTTGCTCCAGGGCGGGGGTCGCAGGGGCGACAACCCCTGGCATTAGAATAATCATTTGTAAAATCCTTAATGTTGTACTAGCCAAGGTCTATGTAAGTACTTGTATAGACCTTGGTACTAGCACCTTTCTTGTGAACATTCATAGCCATCCCTATTTTTTTCTTTTCTTTTAGGAGGGGAAGGGATCTGCACCATAATTCATACACGTATAAGTCGTAGAGAGCGAAAGGAAGATACATAGGTGCATATATGCATGCATATACATACATACACATGTGTGTGTATTTGTTTCAACTCGAGCACCAATATACTTCCTGTGCTTGTGTGCATGAACATATGCAGAAGCAGTTCCTGTGAGCGTGTGCACGTACATCTATATGCTCACCAATCACTCTGTGAATCGCCCAGCCTTCCACAGGTCCTCACAGACGCACGTGGCTCTGTTGCGTGCGGCGCCATAGCTCCTGCTTCGCCCTCGCTCTGTGGCACCTTTCTAATTCTCCACCCTCCCCCCCCTCTCTCTCTCCCTCTTTCAGTCACTCGCTCTCTTTCCATCTTTTACTGGTGTTATAACCATAGTTAAAATCTATTCGTGGGCTTTCAACTTACTGTATTACATTTGTAGGGAGAAAGGTAGACAGAGAAAGAGAGAAGAGAAAAAAGAGAGAGAGAGACAACTCATGTTTACGCGACATGCTTAGCGCTCAGTAATGAATGGATTTTACTTAATGAACGTGTTCACACGGTTCGTTGTTTTACATCTAATGCATTGTTTCCAAATATTTCATTATCTTTAATCTTGGATCATTAAATACAATGTATACACCCTTTTAATAAACAGAAGCGACGTGCCAAACTCGAGGCGAAACTTCCCAAAGAAACGTAAACGTTTCCTGCGAAATCGCTCCGCACACACGCACGCACACGCACCTGCGAGGAGGCGGGGCTTGCGGCGCCTGAACCCGCGCGGTGATTCCCGAGGCTGGAGTGTACGTGCCACACGGCAGAGGAGGGCGGCCGAGGAAACCTTCCTCGCGCCGCCCGTACGCCAGCAAGGCATTCACTCTCGGGAGCTCGAGAAGAAAGGTGTTCAAAGCTAAACGGTGATAAACATGGCGTTGCGAGGAACTCTGGCCAGACTGCCTGCACTCAGGTCCTCGGTTCTGACCACAAGCCCAAGGATCCTGGCGGTTCCTGCCAGGCAGACTCACAGCACGGAGGAACGGCTCCAGGTGGCCCCTGCTGTTGGAGCGGCTGTGTGTAGCAGTGCTATTCCTGTTGGAAAATTGGGTAAGTTGCTTTTGTTCCTGGGAGATGTGCCTGCTAGGTAGTTCGAGATCACCTCCAGTAAGGTTCAGATGTGAAGTGTTGCCAGTGCAGTTCGTTGGGGCGTCTTTGAAACTCCAGGATCTATTACAAGCGCCTGTCAAAGCTTTCTGCTTCCCAGGTTTTTGACTGGCATTAGGGAAATAAGGAAGTATCGTATTGCATGTGTTTCACACACCAACTCTGCTAGCTTTCTTTTTCCACTTAGCTCTAGGTTCTTGGAGGATAAGTGGGATATCTGGCTTAAGTATACTGTACCGGTTTGTATGTTTGTCTTCTTAATAGTCATCGCTGAACAAAACAAGTAATCAGACAAAGACTATTTTGATATACATCATCAGAGCTTGGGATTTTGAGTAAGATTTTTTTCTGGAAAACATCCTGTTTAGTAACTTGAAGATAAAAAACATTAATTTGTCAATCCTCGGATCATTGGTCTATTTTTCTTTCATATTGCTTCTTCGTAACATAGACTTAATCGTTTGCTCCCTCTTTTCGTTTGCTCTTTGAACATGGTCCAACTATTGTTTTCTTTGTTTTAGATTGAACAAGGCTTGGGAAAACAATTCTGAACGTGTGCAATATTCACATGCATTCGAGGACCTATGCATTTGTTTTTTCATCAATATTTTAACCTCGACAATTCCGTTCCAGGACTGAGAGATCACCATATCAACAGACTGGAGAAGTATCTGCTGGTTTGGGGAGGGAAGTACAACTCCATCGCAGACGTCCCTGATCTGGTCAGGTGAGATTTCCTTCGCTTTGTGTATGGATTTATTTCTTTTGTTTTATTAGTAATGACATAGTCTGACTTTTCTGAAGAAACAACCAAAATTCTTAATTGTTGTCTTATCTTAGTTCTGAAATACATTTTACCCGGATATTTTTACCGTCAACAGCCAAGACACCCTGGAACGCGCCCGCAACAAGGCGAGAATCAAGATCAACATCTGGATGGGCGTGGCCACCCTGCTGGGCTGCATGTACATGATCTGGTCGGGCAAGAAGGCCCACAGAGAGGGCCAGTCTCTGCTGGCCATGAACGCGGAGTGGCACCGAAGGGTGAACGAGGAGGCGAGGCTGGCCAAGGGAGAGAAAAACCGGCTGGGGGACCTGGCGGATCTGTAGGGATTTATTTGTCTTGTGTGTGTCTTGAAAGGCCAAGAGAAGGAGTGGAGGATATGGATCGGGTGCTGTGGGGTGTCAGGGAAAGGCAGAAAGGAAAAGCAATGCGTTTTCCTTCTATGTTCTTCAGATAGCACTTTTCAGTAATAGGGAAAGGTGTTTATTTCTTGAACAATCCTTGAGATATAGAGATAGCGTTTGAACCATGCTTCGCATGGGTCATCATATGGCAATACCCATGGCAAAACTAGGTTTGTACGCTGTGTAATGAGTGTTCACCTTTTATTTTAGTATTTATTTTTTATAAATACTTTGTCAAGTGTCTGAATATTCACTGGAACAATGTCAGTGGAGATCCACAATTCAGCAACCCAGTAACCTCGTTATAACAGTGACGTCCTTACAAATCCCCCGAGAGATGTACCGCGATGAGCATGCCGTTCTGGGAGGCAGAGCTCATGCTTTTCGAAGCAATAGTACAATGTAGGAAAGTGTGAGGGCTTTTAATGGGGTTCCACGTGTGCATCTCAGACGCCCATTGCTGCAGCCCATCACTCCCGAGAGGCTGCCCGGGGTGCTGGTTCTCACACTTCAATCTGTGGCGGGAATCTGGCATCAGTGTGAGCGCTTCTGCATGCAGCTGAGACGCAGGGAAGTGTGCTCTCGGCTGTTGCTTGTCGCCGAGCAAAAGGATTCTTCCGAGACGTTTAGCACTCGGTTCTTCTGACTCCCAGACGGTGTTCATTAACAATTAACAATTTGTCTTGTGCTATTTTGCTTAAATAGCAAAGATGTAATGGATGAAAGTCCCTGTGAATAGGCGTTGAACGAGCAGTTTTTTTATTCTTTGTCACTCAAAAAGAAGAAAGAGAAAGTCATGATATCAGTGCAATTAGACATTGATCGTGGCTGATAGAATTTCGTGATATTCATTTCATTTCTTAAATCCTCGCTTCTTTACCCGTGAATGAATGGTCTTCCACATGATTAGTAAAACGGTAAACTGAAATTTTAAAAAGGTATTTTTCGTAATACTGGCCGGCTATTTTGTATGAAATATTCCATGTGGGTTTACAATAAAAGTAACTCAATTTTGATCTTCAAGAGCTAAGGACGAATAAATATAAAGGTGGAATTACACCAATTGATGCACTCTTTTATGATGTTAATTCATCTTGGAAAATATTGTGATCATATTCCCTTTAGTGTAAGACATATCAAATCGGAAATAGACAGCTTTTTATTATATACTAGACAGCTTTTCCATGTTACAGAAATATAAGTAACCATCTGTATATTTTTTATATTGTAGATAATGCTATAACATTGATCTCCTTAAGGTGAATCTGATGATAATAAACCATAGACATTTTATAAGCAGAATAAACATCTCTTTATAAAGTGTGTTTTATTCAACTGTTTGGCAAATACCTTTTTTTTGTACTTATATTTTGCATAACACATACATTTATTGGTGAGACTTTAGAATTTACCTTTATTACATGTAAAGTATATCCCATTTTTTAACTAATTTTCTATCTATTCTTTCTGGCTTCATTAGAAACCATCATAGATTTCTCTAAATTGCTCTTAATTAATTTTGTATGAATCACATTTGGTATGATATCTGAAGAATGGTATTAGATTTTTTTTTCTTCCTTTTTTAATTTAGGAAAAAAATAATTCCATATTTTTCTTATCACTAATTGTGTATAATGAAAACCAGGAGACCAAACGAAAAAAAAACTTCCTTTCATATCTTCCCGATTAGTTATTCACTGAAGTAGCGTGGCTCATTTCATTAGTTTCGAGGTCTTCCTCGGCCCCATGGCGCTTTTTTTGATTGGTTTTCTTTGCTAAATCGGTTTGCGTAGCAGGCTTTTCAGACTGCTGGACCTTTTCTTTTAAAGCCCGAAGGACTTGCGCCCCACATCCCAGGGTGAAGACAGCTTTGCTGGTACAAACTGCACTGGTGTTCCATAGGATGCCAGAAATGAGTATGCTTTTCTTAGGTCTCAGAACAGAAATTGTGATCTGAGATTTCGTTTTTCATATATCGTTTTGGTGCGAACTGAAGCACAGTAGACGGGTGTGGTTATTTAGCGTGTCACAGTTGCACCTGAAACCAAGACGGAGCAGCCACAAGGGTAAAGAAGCGAGACCAAGCAGGCTTCCCCCTTTCTCACAGCCCTTACACTTTTTACCTCCATTTTAACCCCCCCTTAGCTAGCTGTATCTCGTCCACCACGCCTCTTCTGTTAACAAATCGAGTCGGAAGGTCAGAAGATTCTGGCGCAGGATTATGACCAGAAAGGTCTAGAGTCGTTGGCAAGAATAAAAGAATTGAATTAAAATCCCCCCAAATGACAGTCCTCAAAACCAGTTAGTTCCCTCGGGGAACAGGGGAATGACATTCAAAATCTTCGGACAAACTGGTTAGACAATGAATTCTCGTATTTCTCTAGCTTCCTTGCTTGTTTGATGGACTATTACCATCCACTTTTGACAACGTAATGAATTTTGCTTTGAGCTATATTCAGAAGTGGATTTTTGTCAACTCGACGAAAAAATAGTCAGTGAGGCTTCAACATGAGAATGGCTCAAGTATGATCGTGTCCGTGGGCCTTTGGCAAACTTCATGAGGCGATGTAATTTATGGTCAAATTATTTCACTTTGATTATTCCCTCTTGAATATATTTTTTCCTCTTGATGTGAGAGGGAGTAGGTATTCACAGATAGCTTCGTCAACTGCGAAAGTGCGAAATAAGTGAATGGATAGACAAAGAAAAACAGAAGCTTTCTCACATTTAATATGGTATATCTACATGGGTCGATGATGATGACGGTGAGGAGAATGGCTACAGTTATGAGGATGACGAAGAGGAGGAGGAGGAGGACGATGTCGAGAGTAATGAGGAGGAGGATAATTACGGTGACAATGATGATGATGGAAATGGTGAGGATTAGGAAGATGTCGATGAATATGGTTATGATGATGAATATTATTAGTAACAGTTTAACGTTATTGATATGGTTATTGCTGATATTTCACATAACAGGCTTATAATTTTCAAAATTGCATCGTTATTGGCATCATTATTATTTCCATCGCTGCCATTATTTATATGATTGTATTCATATCATTTTTGGAAAAAGAGGTCCAAATTGTCATTATTCTTGTAATATCTCCGTACTCCTCTGGAAAGAACATAGGCTCGTAGTCCTCAGAGTTAGAACGTAAACAATACTTGGAGTTTGAGAACCATAGTTTGATCAACACTTCAAGATGGTAAGGCTTTACATGATAAATATTGCTGAAGAAGAAGTTGAAAAGGGTTCAGGTGACTGTGTTTAATGACGAATGGTGTTGACAACTCAAATGACTGCAATTAGAGGAAAAAACAAGACGAGAGTTTATGTCTTGACATACTACGATCTTACAGGCTTCTGTTTTATCTTTTTCACTGACCTGTAACCCTCCCAATACATTGTTCGTTGTTGTCGTGTGAGGGCTTAGGAGACGGAGACTGAGGCCCAAGGGAGGGGATCACCCTCCCTTGGGCCTCAACCTTCGCCTCAACTAATTTTGCTTGGTCTTTTCTTCTCTCCTTTCCTCTTCTGTATCTTCTTCTTCCCCTTCTTCTATCCCATTCCTAAGTTGTGAGAGCCGTGCTGAAAGGATGAAAGGCTGGCTTTGTGTCAGTCATGAAAGGCCTCCGGGAGCCATGGGCACGGTATTCCCTTGGTTAATTGCCGAGCACTTATCCCTTATGGGGACCCTGAGGGGTAGACTGTTTCTTTTCCCCAACTTATTTAGGCTCACCATGGCCAATAATGAAGATTCTTTACCCTTTATAGGGGCATTAAGGCTTGCCCCTTCATCAACTGAAGTAGATTTTGATGGTTTTCTGACCTCTGCCCCTCCTTTGACCACAGTTCCAACCACTGATACTAATACTCCCTCCTCGACACTTATGAACAACTCTAACCATTCCACCCAAGTTATTACTCAACCTCCAGAAAGTACCCCTTCCTCTCTCCCAACATTCTCCTCCCCATCTCCTTCTGCACAGTCCTCTTCAATGTCAACCCCCTCTTCCCCCCCCCCCCCCCCCCCCAGAGAACTCCTACACTCAACACAACCCCATCTTCCTCCCGCTCTCTTCCTGCTACTACCTCTACCTCTGCAAACCTTCTGGGTACTCTATTTGGCCCAGCCACGTGGGATCGATTCTTTGTGATTCCTCCCATAGCCCCCTATTCTGAGAATACCCTTCTCTTTCAACAGTGCCTCCAGAAACAAGTAGGCAAGGATACCTTTTGCAGTTGCTCTGATTGTTCACGGCATGTCATGGTTATATCTGAATCCTAAAGTCATGCACTATCTACCCTAACTGACTTCACTGGCAAACCCATTCCTGCCAAACCTCATCCCTCTCATAATACTTGTACTGGAACTGTTTCTATCTCCTCAAATGCTTGTCGTATTTACAACAAGAACTGGACAGACTGTGAAAAATGATCTACTTTCCCACCTTTCTGATTATGATGTAGTGGCAGTACAGTGTTACACTATTCCTCCCAGAGGCCAGCTTAAGTCACACGTCAATATTGCCAAGATTAACATCCATGACCTCCCCCATGAGGTTTATATTAGTGGATTATCCTACCATGTCTGACCATATCAACCCCTTCTTTGTCAATGTCAGAAATGTTGGCATTTTGGCCACCCAGCCAAACACTGTCATTCCACATCCCGTTGCCCTCTATTTGCCTAACTTGGTCATGACCGTTCAAATTTCCAGCTCAGTTACATACATGTGCCATTTGTCGAGACTCCATGATATATCTTATAGGAGCTGCTTTGCCTATAATCTTGATGGGAGGCCAGACAAGAAGCGCGACAATGAGGTTTTTCTCTTTCAACTTATTCCAAAACATTCCTTCGCTCTGAGCCCCAACCTTCTCCCTCCACCCCCCTTCCTCTTACCCTCCCAGCATACCCCACCCTTTCAACCTCTCCCACTTGAATACTCACACTAATCCCCTCTGTCACAACAGTGTCCTTCTCCACACATTCTTGAGGATAAGACACACCTCTTGTAAAAATCTCATTCTGTTCACATCTTTTTGAGTTGAATAAGAAATCCTGGATCCAGATCATGATCCAGATCACCACCAAAATGTAATAGCATCTAAGTTAGGCTAAGACATATGTCGGGTAAAAATCTCATCAAAATCTGTTCATAACTTTTTGAATTACCCTGCTAACAATAAATTATACAAACAACCTATGAACAAACAAGTATACAAACATGGAGGTAACAATATATATATAAACTTAAGGTCATTGAATACACAGAAATTATCTTTATATACTTTTATATCATATATACATAGTTTTAAACCAGCCTGTATTTATATATCTGCATTTCACGGGAGTGTTGGTGTGAAAAGTGGGTATTTTGTCCAGTAGAGTTACAAGGCCTGAGACCCTAGTCTCAAAAACACATGCATGCAGCCCCATCTCCCATTTCCCCACCTGTGAGTGTGATGTTTGCTGGCATGGAGAACGAGGATATTTCATACCAGTATATGTTGTAAGACTCCAGTAGACCAATAATAAAGGGAAATAATTGAGGATTACATCATATAGATCTATTTCATATAACACCTTATCCAAACTGTAAAAGATATGAAGAGGAAAAAAATTGCCATATTTCTATACATATATATACGCATATTTAGATTTTTTATAAAAAATAAACGTATTATGGCTCATGTAGCTAGATAGTAGATCTATTTTAATGCAATTAGTTTTTGCATCAGTTTTTTCTTGTGCTTCTTGCCAAAGTGACATGTATATAAAAATAAATCCCCTTTTATGGTGCTCTAAAAGTCCCTTATGTAAAATAAAAAAAAAATAAAAAAATAAATAAAAAACTAGGTCGAAATCGAAAAATGTAAGCCTGCCATACAATAGATAATAGTACTATTCAGAAACTACATCAGAATGCCTGTTTTTTTTTTTTTTTTTTTTTGTTTGTTTGTTTGTTTGTTTTGGGGGGGGGTTAGAGAAATTTTCCAAAATGGTCAATTTACACCAAGAAACACCCAGAGTAGTAGGACCCGACCATAAGATGATTAGCTTGTGACATTGTTACGTGCTGGGCATTTCTACAAGACTTCTGAATGCAGGTTGATGATAGGGGATTATGTTGTTTGAAGATTATTTTTCTACCTTTTGCTGTTAATGTTGGCCTTTGGAAAATTCATATATTAAACATAAAAGCATTTTATGCTCTTTCAAGGTAGTTGTTAGTAGTAATCTTATGATTTGAGTTAGCAAATTAATTTTTTTAGTCAGTCAGTATGCACATAAAATTCAATTGAGTAATTAGATTGGTTTGTGGAAAGTACTTCACAAAGGTTAATAAATCTTTTCTAAAGATTTTGACCTATTTGTTACTGTAGAAAAAATGGAAACTATAGAAATATGCAATATGTGTAAATCAAATCAAAATCATTAGCACAATTTAACCCTCCTAATGGCATACTTTTGTTGTTAACTGCTTTTTTGTTTATATATTTTGAATAAGGCAGTTAATTGATATGATTTTTCTTTTGATTGTTTTTGTTTTTTGTTGCTTTGTTTAGCTGCTGTTATGATTCTTAAAGTTACAGCTTTTCTGTTACATGATAGAGTGGCAGAATATTTATGTTCATTGATGCTCTGTTTTCTGTAATAGATAAATTGTTTTTATATAGCAACAGTATCACAAAAGCCATATGTGACATTTATTCGCCTGCACATTACAGAGAAAGGAATCCTTGTGCCATAATACCTCAAAACTAACTTTCACGTATTCAACAGGGAGAACGTAAAGGAGTCAACAAGTACTATCCTCCTGACTATGACCCAAGTAAAGGGGGCCTCAACAAATTTCAGGGCACGCACGCCTTGCGCGAGCGTGCCCGAAAGTTGCACATGGGCATTCTCATCATACGATTTGAAATGCCCTACAACATCTGGTGTGAAGGATGTGAGAACCACATTGGCACAGGTGTAAGGTAAGGCTTCATGTAACTTCCATTTAAGCTTTGATTATATATTGTATTAACCATTGATGATCTACATATATTGAGAAGAATGGCTGCATGATGATAAGTTTGGTAGAATTGTTAATAGTAGAAGAGCACAGAAATAGAGAATTTATCTGCACATAATAAAGGAAAACTACCAATCATTTGTCAAACTTCACAAAGCAGAACATGATTTGATGCCATGCTTCCTGTACTTCATGCTGTGGCAGTGGTTAGTTGACCTCCACCACATGTATTCGGGCACACTAAAGCTCATGGATGGGATCAGCATATCAGTTTATCACTATGTAAGGAAACAACAATTTCCCTTTTGCCAAAATATGTATGGTTGACGATTGTTGTCATATGTCGGAGTGACAAGTAGGAAGACAAAGTCATCGCTGTAAATAAATCACTGTAAAGTACATTGTTGGTGCATGAGTTTACCATTACATGAACAATAATGGATTGTCAAATATTTTCTGTTTTACGATCTTATTAAAAGTATGATAAAGACAAGAATTTAATTGTTTGTTGTTTAGGTATATAATATATGAAGTTATTGTTGCTTGTCTTATCATATATGCATCATTAAGTAGCACAATCAGTGTTGATTGGAAGGGTATTTGTTAATAAAACATGTGACTGGTTCTTCT